CACCGTTTGGGGCCAGTGGGGCGAGGGTCCCGGTTGTCCACTACTGGCTCTGGGCTGGCAGGCTTGGAGCTGGCACAGGCACAGTGGCCAGGGTCTACTCCTATAATGGCTCCGGGGCTGGGGGAGAGGAGAGTAAGTTTTCCTGGTTGTGCCCAGAGTGGCCACCAGGGCTCCCTGGGAAGGGCTGGAGGCCCCCTATTTAGAATTAAGTGTCTACACAGCACTTAATTCAAAATAGCTATTTCTAATTTGGCGTTACTCCTCGTAGAATGAGGTTTAGCAAATTCAAATTAAGCGCTTCGCTATTTCAAATTAATTTCGAAATAGCAATTTGCATGTATAGATACTATTTGCAGTGTAGACATACCATGAGTTAGGGAGAGAGAGGGAATGGAGTGAGCGGAGCAGGGCTTTGGGGAAGGTGTGTATTGGGAATCACACTGTAAGTCTGTCCATATATAGCACTTGGCTTCATGGCCAAGAGAACAAAACTTGGTCAGCAGTTGTGACCAAGCATAACTCTTGCTCTCCATGTACCAATCTGGACTTCTGATATGGTATCACAAACATGTGGACAAGCTTACTAACTTCTGTGGCCTATTTTAAAATGTTTCTAATAAAGTTTAGAGATACTCAGAAGAAATCTTCCACATATATTAAGACATTTTTATTGATGTACCCAAGATCCGCACATAAGGCCTCATGGGAGGGGCAGGGTCAATCTTGGGTTGCCTTTAAATTCAGAAAGAGATCTTGGGCATAAGAAGGTTGGAGATCACCAGGGGCAGGAGAGGGTGGTGAAGAAGGATATAGTGGAGGCGCCAGCCATGTGACCTCCACTGTCCACACAACTCCTACTGGAACCACCAGGTGCCAACTCTGCCCCCTGCACTGCAGGCTCTACCCTGCTGCTTTCCCCAAGCCTTCTCCCCCAGTGATGGGTCCCACGGGACTAGTGGGAAGGCCTGGCACTGGCAGTGGGGTCCACCTACCCTGCCACACTAACCAGCGGCAGTGAAGGGGAAGCAGAGCAATGCTTCCTGCCGTTGAGTGCAGGGAGGCAGTCCCACCCCTCCCAGGAGTGACGCAGCCTGTAGCCAGACAGGGACCTGCATTGCTCTGCTTCCTCCTGTGGCTGCTGTTGAGTGCATGAGGCCTGACCTCTGCTGCAGGCTCCCTGTTAGTCTCTTGGGCTGCCCAAGCTCTGACCCCTTGCCCCTCCCATATCTGGCATTTGGGGGGGCCTGTGGCCCTTCTGACCCCCCCTCACATGCCACCAGTGGAAACCACAGTTATCTATATACATATTTTAGAGCCATTTGTCTGTCTGCAAATTTATTTGTTCAAGAGCACCTCCTAAACAGTAACAGCAAGGACCACCAAACTTGTTAGGCAGCTTCCTGTTAAGAGTCTTAACCATACCCTGGCCTTGCTTTAAGTTGGCATGAAAAAAGGAAGTGCCTGGAATTCAGCTGTTTTCCATAACACAGAAAGGGAGGTGGCTGATCGGAGGGACACGATACTGCACAGTTACCACTAGGGGCAGCGAGCACAGGGGACAGCTACACCACAGAGTGACCACAGGGGGCAGCCACACTAGGAGGGGAGTGGCCAACTGAGAACGGGGTTGACCATCTTGCTGGCCACCAGCCCAGGTAAGTGGCTCCCCTTGCTTTGATCCCTTTTGCCCCGGCCTTCTGCCCCAGCACTGGACTGGGGAGGGAAGGGAAAGCCCCACCACCATGACTCCTCCCCCCCCCTCAGGATTCACACCCCCAGCACCACTGAGCTGCCTAGGATGGCCCGGGCCCAGGGAGCTCCACCAGGATTGTCCTGCGCAGTCCTATCCTTCGCGCCTGAGCCTGGGGAGCACCACTGGGAGGCCTCCACCTACCAGCACTGAGAATTGCTGCTGGGAGGCCTCCATGCTGCCCCACCCTCCGACCCTGGGACTGGGATTGAAGAGATGTGCTGGGACACTTCTGCACCTCCACCCCCAGGCCTGGGGAGCACCGGTGGGAGACTTCTGAGCTACCCCCTCCCTCTGTCTCTGGGCCTGTGCAGTGCCGGCAGGAGACCTCCATGATTCCCCCCCCACACACCGCCCCCTGCCCTGGGCTGGACCCAGGCAATGTCAGGTAAGTCTTGTAGTAAGTAATATTGAAGTGTGCTGAAACTGCCCAGTCAGGAGAGAAGCATTATTACTATGTGTGAAAGGGTCCTTTGACTCAGAAGGTGTTACCTTCTGCCTAAATAGAAACCATTGTGGAACAGCAGAGAACAAAAGATTTTGCTGCTTGCTCCTCCCACCACACACAGGAGCGGCCTGAGGCCGGCTGCGGCAGCTAGTGCCCCAGGCAGAAGGCGTGATTGGCGCCCCCGCCTGCACGGCCGTCAATGGCCGTGACGTCCTCACTGGGCGCCCAGGCTGGCAGCGACGCCCTAGGCAACTGCCTAGTTTGCCTAACCTCATGAGCTGCCCCTGCCCACATGCATATCCATGAAGAGGAGATATGCGTGTGAGTGAGAAATTGTTTCAACATCTTGAGCTCTGGGGAAGGTTTTAAAAAATCCCCGACAAAAAGAAGCTGCATCTTTTTAGCAGTTTGAATTGTGAAGGATCAGAGACTGTAAACTGAAGCCGGTATCCAGAGGCTACCTCCTGGGGCTGCCCCAGAAGGGTATGTCTACACTACCACCCTAGTTCGAACTAGGGTGGTAGTATAGACATACCCGAAGACACATTCTATAGATAGGTCACTACAATAGTCACTCTTAGGATGTAGGTGGTATCTCATTGTTGTGTATACATTCATTTGCTTTAACCTATAAATAACTCTCTTCTTCGTCCTTTTTGTTCTAGACAATAAACCTTCATGTAGTTTATTACAGGAATTACCTTTGGTTTAGGATCTAGAGTACCACTTGATCTGTTTTTAAGTGATTGGTCTCTTGGGCCTAGAAGCAACCTGAATGTAGTATGATTTTTGTGTGTATGAGAGACATTTATTGTTAAGTCCAGTTTGTCTGGGTGACAAGACAGACTTTCCAGTCTAAAAAAAATGCCTGTGACTCCATGATAAGACTGGCAGAGGAATCTGGGAATATGCATTAGTTATCAGTTTGGTGACATCTAATTATAGATATTAGTTTGGGGTGTCCACCCTGCTTTTGATGGACTGCCCCGAGGTAGGCAATCATGGTTGTGAGCCAGTCCAGACAGAGTAACATGCCTCTTGAGTCTAAGTCTAGTCTCTATCGTTGTGAGCCAGTCCAGACAGAGTAACATGCCTCTAAGTCTAGTCTCTATCTTCTACACTACACAGCTATTTTGGGATACCTCAAAATATTTTTCGAAATAATGGGCGAGCTATTTTGCCATTCTGGTAAACCTCATTGTACGAGGGATAAGGGATGGCTTGAAATAGCTCATTATTTTGAAATAATGAAATAGCTCATTATTTTGGCACTGTGTAGACGCCACAAATTTCAAAAGAAGCTATTTCAAAATAGATTGGAAATAAGATACACAATTTGCGTAGATCAAATTGCGAATCTTATTTTGAGTTTAGGGTGCTGCGCAGATGCACCCTAAGAGACCTGCAGAACTTTTATGGCTTTGATGTAGAAATCATTGGATGGGTTTTTTTGGACTGTTATTCAGGAGATTGACTAGATAGTCATACTTCCTTCTGGGGTTGGATTAATAGATTTTTATGAACTGGTTTATCCTTCTAGTAGCTACACTACAGGTAGAACTACTGTCTGTCAGACTTTAAGGATTACCACAACGTTGTATGAGATAAATCAAACAAAATTGCTGGAGGGTAAACCACAGGCTAAAATTCTACAAAGTCACATCAGTGTACTCTCAGGGGAAAATTCACATGGACATGTTCCTACAAGGGCAGTCTTCACAAATTTGATTTTAACATAATTGGCACTGCACAGGTTCCTTGACTATTAGCCCAATCAAAAGAAAAGCTGAGACTTTTGCAAATGGTGAACAATGCAGAGTACAATGTTATTGACAGTTCCAGCCAAATGTCTCTAACAAAGGAACAAATAATTGGATCAATATGGGAATGTTTTAAAGGCTTCAGAAGTCTGCCTAGAGAATATAAATTGGAAATCAACTCTGAGGTGAAACGAGTATAACCATCAAATAAAGTAAAGGTTCATTTTAAAGAAGGGCCAGGAAATACGGATTTGCAGTCTTGTATAATGGGATTCTTTTTAAAGAGTTTCCCTCAAAAGAATAGATTAGCAATAAGATACCTGCTTAAAGAAACCAAGCAAGCAACCCATAATTTGTGATCCCTCATACCTCAAAGTTTTGATTGTTCCTATACCAGGAAGAGATTTTTAGCAAGAATCACAAAGCCACAATTGATTTAGATGCCAAGGATTTTTGGGAGGGTAAATGTGATTAAGGAAAAAAATTATATGGACATCTTTTGAACTCCTTTATACATATAGCTGTCTATACTTGCAGTTTGGCACTTTTCTGGAGCAAGAGATGGTCTAGAACAGGGGAGGGGAAACTTTTTTGGGTCAGGGGCCACTGACCCACAGAAATATCAGTCAGGAGCTGCACACACGTGAGAAGCAAAGTGAGAAGCCCCTGACTGAGAAGGAGAAAGATACTTCTCACATTCCCCTTTCATACCAGGACCTGTGCGGGGCCAGGCAAGCAGATTTTGTGTGCTCCAGGCCTGTGGGTGGCAGCGGGGCTGGAGCACCAGCGCGAGTTCCCCAATGTGGGGGAATCCCTGAGCCTCGGGGTCCAGATCCAGGCAATCCAGGGGCTGCATCCAGCCTCTGGGTCTAAGGTTTCTTACCCCTAGTCTAGAAGGATTCAGATGAAAGTATTGATGACAAATCTTAGTGGCTTGAATACTAGGAATTCACTGAAAATGATCTGGTAGTGTGACCCATTGGAAAGCATGTGTTCCAGGGCCTTCTCTGCTAATTTGCACCAGATGGAAGTTGCTGCAGCCCCTAACTTCCAGCACCTTAGCTCATTAGCTCAAGCTGTAGCAGCTCATGTTTTTAACACTGGTGATCTCTGTCTCAGTTGCCCAGCCAAGATAGTGGCTGTCAAAGCAGCCCAATATATATGAATGTCTGTGGATATAAATATTCAAAAGATATACACATGCGGTATGTGCACACACACAGAAACTGAGTAAAAAAAAAAGATGATATTGCAAATCTCATATGCAGTCTAAGGGCTTGTCTACCCTTGCGAGAAGATCATAGAATCATAGGACTGGAAGGGACCTCGAGAGGTCATCGAGTCCAGCCCCCCGCCCTCAAGGCAGGACCAAGCTCCATCTACACCATCCCTGACAGATGTCTATCTAACCTGTTCTTAAATATCTCCAGAGAGGGAGATTCCACCACCTCCCTTGGCAATTTATTCCAATATTTGACCACCCTGACAGATAGGAATTTTTTCCTAATGTCCAATCTAAACCTCCCCTGCTGCACTTTAAGCCCATTACTCCTTGTCCTGTCCTCAGAAACCAAGAGGAACAAATTTTCTCCTTCCTCCTTGTGACACCCTTTTAGATATTTGAAAACCGCTATCATGTCCCCCCTTAATCTTCTTTTTTCCAAACTAAACAAGCCCAGTTCATGAAGCCTGGCTTCATAGGTCATGTTCTCTAGACCTTTAATCATTCTTGTCACTCTTCTCTGTACCCTTTCCAATTTCTCCACATCTTTCTTGAATTGTGGCGCCCAGAACTGGACACAGTACTCCAGCTGAGGCCCTTCAGAGGCTGATGTTCTAGTGTTCGGTTTAGTGGGTCTACTATAGATGTGTAAATTGAAAGCTGAGGACAGCCCCTGCTGGCATCCGGTTCTCCTCCTTCTGGGAGAAGAAAGAGAAGCCGAAGGGAGCACACACTCCATTGGCCTCCCACTGTGTGGACACCATCACAACTCAGCTTAAGGGAAGCTGACACCAGCTGCACACTTTGTATAACAGGAGTTGCATACTTTAAACTGACCTGCTTGATCTAGTATAAACCAGGCCTCGGTGATTTAGGAATACATGTCTGATTGAGAGTCAATGGGAATAATGTTTTTGAATTACATGCTTTTGAAAACTTCACCCTGTATTGGTCAGCAGTTGCATAACTAGCAGAAGTTTTAACTAGATTTTGGGAAGGTTTAAACAGTGTTAGACATCCTAGATTCAAAATTATGATAAGGTATAGTTAAGCATCATAAGAACATCTCTGTCTAAAATCCCTGCTGTGGCCCTGGTGCAATACATTATTTAAGCTTGTGCTTAAATCCATCCTTATTCAGTAAAACAAAGCACTTGAACACATGCTTACATGCTGGCTTCAAGAATTTGCTCAGTTAGGGCCTGTCCTTCTAAAGCTGCTAAGTCAGCAGTTCTCAAAACCTGAGCAACCCAAGGATTTCAATTTTGACTTAATTTTTTTTGGAGGGACCATTAAGCTTCCCCCAGCTCAGCTTACCTTGCCTGCTTCCCCAAGGCCATGCCCCTGCTCTGCCCCTTCACTTTCCCCCATCCTCACTCACATTCACCAGGCTGGGGTAGAGGGTTGGGGTGCATGAGGGAATATGGGGTATGGGCTCTGGAAGGGAGTTTGGATGCAGGAGGGAGCTGGGTTCA